GTAAAATTTACTGAAAAATTCATCTTATTTTAACACTGAAAATACGACTTTGTTAGGTATCTGGGAAATAAGTTTAACATAGTACAGGTGCCACAATTTCTGATTACCAAGAAATCATTTCTCACCTGACTTATAAGCTAGCCACCTCGTTACAGTTTTATATATTTAAACTAAACAGAAGTCAAAGCAGTATAATCTGTGCACTGCTCAACAGGATTGAAAGAATAATGGAACAAACTGTTGCAAATGACACTTAATTTCAGATTCTGAAGGTGCCTGATTTGACTCTCGAAATACGAAAGGACTGTCGTAAAAAATATATTTGTACGCCACGCTGGACTTTTGCCATTATTTGGAGTCTTGACTGCGCTTGAAAAATGGAAACCATTGTGTGGGGAAAAGTCGACTGGTTACGTCACAACGTCGTATCTTCAAGTTTGAAATCCGAAAAAAAAGTTGAACATACTACGAGAAAATTACAGGCTGTCGTTTAATGCACTCCTCATATTATTTGCTACATTCCAGACTTCTTTTCATCATTCATTTTTCTGTAGAAAAATTAACCTATATTACGATGCTCATACAAAAATCAGTTTTTTGTTTTTGGAAATTAACAACATTACAACCTTTTTGCTTTTTACACTTTTTTTTTTTTTTTCTTTGGTTGTTTCAAATGTTTGTTTAGATTGTCGGTAGGATTTTGGTAATGCATAATCTTGATTAACTTTTTGATAAAACTAGCTGCGTTAAACAATACTACGAAACCATGTTCATGAATACAGCGTCTTCACTTCCTGAATGTTACAATTCAGATCACTGCTAGACCAATCTGTATAAATATATGCCCACAGTCGTAAATTCTGCTCAGTTTGGTATTGACAAATACAGTGTTTGTGGCCTGTAACATTCCCGACCCGTCTCCTTTCCTATAAGGCTTTTCTGTACTCTTTCCATTAAAAGTATTTTTCTTTTTGCAACGATTAATTTTTGAATCCAAAAATGTTACTTCAGCAGCGCGGTTTCAAAAGCCATCAAATTCAAAAGGTTTTAGTTGGGAAATCTGATCCAGACACTGCACACGGTGGTTTATAGTCTTGGTCCCGCCAGACTTCTCGATACTGGCGAAATTCCAGTACTGAACGAATTGCAACGACTGGCCATTTATACCTTCAAACGTTTTTGTTTAAGCATGAATTGGGCTGATTAGTATTTCTTGTCTATTAGCTGTTGTGTGAAGACGATTTATTTAGCTGCTTTTTGTCTATTTAGTGATTTATTATGTACATATTTACATATTTATTTGTTTATTTACTTATTGATATATTTTGGTAGTTTTTTGTATAGTGACTATAACGAATAGCAGAATGACACAGTAATAGTATGTCATTTCTGCTAGTCAGGTGTCTTTAATAGTTACCTTCTGCTGAAGTCAGAATTCTTTTATTTTAAGAAACTGTTCCATAAACCATTGAAAAGGCTTGCCTACGGGCTGCGGGAACTATGTGATTGACATGGTAAACAGTGAAGAGGGAAAAAAATTTGTGTAATTTGTCTAATGTGAAACGGAAAACTAATCACCTACTGGGCTCTCGTTTTACAAGTTAGCGGGCCTGGCTTTGAAATTCATTTTTACTGGGATTTTAATCATGTATTATTTAATGAACAGGAATTTCTATAAACTGAGGGAAGTCTAACTGTATTTGAAGTTTTCCGAATTTATGGAAAAAACACATTTTCAAATGTTTTCAGGTAATTGCATATTGAAAGGTAATGCAGTGCCATAGTTTGTTTGAAATGTTTAAAGAATGCAGTTTTTGACTCTAGGTCAGATATTTTGCTGCAGGTGAGCTAGATTTATGCTGATTATGGTTGCATAGCATATCGCGGCGTGCACGTGGGTCCTTTCATCGTACTTTTGATTTTGTCTAAAGATTTCAGGTTAATTTTGCGGGCACTTGTAATATTTAACAAATTTTTGGGGGTAGTTTATTTGACTTTCCTTATCGATGATGAGTGGCGCACCAAAGGATGTCGGTATTCGTGCTATGGAACTTTATTTTCCTAACAGTTATGTGGAGGAGTCAGAGCTAGAAGAGGTATGACTGACTTTATATGAAATTTTAGACGTTTTAAGTTACGGGATATTTATTCAGGACAGCGGTAGTTTGCTGCAGGTTTATTCGTCTTGTTCGGTGTTTTTCGGCTTACTTGGTAATCAAAAAACTTTCAATTTTTCCTGGTATTTTTTCAAAGGTAATTGAAAGTGGAAATTATTGAGAAAAACTGTTGAAGGGTTCAGTAAGCAATGTTGAAGGGACACGAAACAGTCCCATAGATAAAGAACATTTGAAAAGCAGGATTCTTAAAAAAAAAAAAAAAAAAACTGCGAAATCATTTACTTTGACTGAATTTTTGGGGTCTTCAAGTGTACATTAGAAACTGTCTAAATGCTTCCTTAGCATCATTAGCTGTTCTTTGTTTTGAACGCAATTCAGACTTGTGTATTTAGTTCAATAAAGTTAGCAGCGGTCGTTACACAGTTGGTCTTGGAGTAAAAGAAATGGGTTTTTGTGGTGTCGAGGAAGATGTTACCTCGATTAGCTTAACTGTTCTTTCGGCTTTGCTTAAAAACTACCAAGTGGGTGTTTTGAAAACTTTAGGGTTCTGGTTCTATTGAAAAACTTGTATATAATTAATTCGCAGTCAGAAAGTTTTAATTTGTAACTAAATCCATGAACAGAACCTTAACCACCCTATCTTTTCTTCTGATAATGTCTTTCTTTTTTTTTCTCTCAGCGTAATATTTAACTGTTATCTCTTCATTACTTTTTGTAACACTCGTTAGTTTTAGAAGAGAAGTTATTTTTATTGATGGTTATCGATGTTTCAGATTGATAAAAGTTCCGTTGGTTATATTATAGTTGGATCTGAAACAATAACAGATAAAAGTAAAGGCGTCTTCACAGCTTTAAGCCAGTTATTTGACAAAAACAATGAGATTTTTGGAGCTGAGTGTATAGGGGCTTGTTATGCGGGAACTTCAGCATTGTTTAATGCTATTGATTGGATTTATGCCAACTGGCAGCGCGAAAGTTGGTCATTAAGTTACTACTGTTTTTCCGATCCAAGAACCTTCTACATTTTTTGTTTGCTGTTAAGGAAAGTATGCCGTTGTCGTTATGGCCGACATTGCAGTGTATGCTCCGGGACCAGCTAGATGTACTGGAGGTAAATTTCTTATTTTTACATTTTTCTGTATAGTACTCTCTCTCTGTTAAAGTAAAGAATTATTAAGTTTAGTTACTTCTTAGATTTTAGGGGCTGGAGCATTTGCTGCATTAATCGGTCCTGACGCTGCTGTCGCTTTTGAAGAGGGATTGCGTTCTGCCGTTTTGAAAGACGTATGGGATTTTTATAAACCTGTATGTGGTCTTTCTACTGAATATGCTTTTCTCAATGGTCAATTGAGCCTGGAGTCGTATCTAAGGATGCTGGATTTTGCTTACGAAAATTATAAAAGAAAAGCATTTAAGCTGCGTGGAATAGGTCATAGATTTGCAGTATTTATTCGGAAGCAACAGTTCACTTTAAGAACAGTCTTTTCTTTATCAATGCTTTTCCTGTGACAATTCTACGCCATCCTTCATTGGTACTACTATAAGAACGGATGCAGTGGTAGTAATATATGGAGACGAAAAATTTTTTTGTTGTTAGTACGTCATTTGTAGTTGATTTTCACTTTTCCTTTTTAGGTATTTCTCTGTCGGATTTTCAAGCTGTTATGTTGCATTGTCCATTTTCGAAATTGGTACAGAAAGGATTTGGTCGTCTTGTTTATAAAGATTATATGGAGGGCCTTCAAGATTCCCTTGTGGAACCGGAATTATTAGACACTATAAAGTAGGTTCTTTTTGATTATTCGGATGAAATTTATATTTCTTACTATTATCGTTAACTGAAATATACACATCCTGCTTTCTTTAAGTCTTTAGGAATCTGTTTGTATTGTAAATTTGCTATTAATTAAAATCAAAATTTTAAACATTTCATATTTTGCTAGTTACTGTTCGGGTATTTTCTTTTTTATTGAAAAGCGAAAATGAGTTTCTATGATAAATTTTATTTGTCTCATTCAATGCAAATTGGGTTTAAAGCTGACTCACTGGGGACAGTTAAAGGCATTTGTAAATTTTATTAATGCTAGAGTTCTTGATAAGTACGTATTCAAGAAAATTTATTGGTATAATTAATATCTATTTGCCTTCAACGTTGCGTGAAAATCGTCTTTGCTTAGATTATTTTATATCATGTCATAATAGTTCTGCGGGGTGTTTTCTCTTCAGTGCAACATTTTAATAGCTTCAGATGTAGTAAGCTTTAAAATGATTCGTTGTTTTTCTTTAGATCTACCCCATTAGAAACTTCCTATACTGATCGTCAATTCGTTTCTACCACAGTGGCAGTCAGCAAGAATCTTTGGGAAGAGAAAGCACTTCCTAATCTTTTTTTCAACCTTAGAATTGGTAATATGTATACAGCTTCATTATATGCCCAATTATTTGGGCTCTTTCACAGGTAGGTATTAGCTACAGAATAAGTAAGATTTTCAGTCTCTGTTTGTATTCCTTATTTAGAAATGTATTTTTAATGGCAACTGCATTTCGTCACGTCTGATCATGATTTTTGATTTTATCCTTTATGGAAAATTTATCTAGAATGACTGTTTTTGATTGATGTATTATCGTCAGAATACCTAAGCATTCATTTTTTTTTTGAGGTTGATTTCAGTAAGCTTAAAACTGGTAAAAAATTAATTTCACTTCGAAATTGTTTAACATTTTGCAGTGAAATTGCTAACTGCTATGACTTTCCACTTGACATTCTAGTAATGATCCATGTGACATTTAACTGTTTTACGCCTCTGAAAAGTATTTGTTTTCAGATGTAATGTCGATTCAGTATTAGGAATGAGGATACTCCTATTTTCGTATGGTAGCGGTGCTGCAGCAGCTATGTTCTCTATCAGAATCAATGAAAATCCCTCGTCTGAAAGTAAGTATTATTGTCATTATTCTTTTAAATACTGGGAATGTTTCAGCTTGCTAGAATGCAATCTTGGTTTGTAAAGTCATTTTTTGCTTAATAGTGGCTTGTTTCATGAAACACAAAAAGAAATTGAAAAGTTTTAAATTTCTTCAGTGCTGAATCAGCTGAAACGGTTGAAGGAAAACGCCGATTCTGCAGCTGTACGATTAAGTAAACGTCAAAAATATTCTCCGGCGGCCTACACTGAAATTCTCGCAGCTAGGGAGACATTTACTAATGGGAAGAAATGTGAGAATATTTTCAGTTATATTACTTTATTACAGCAGTAACGTTAATTTTCAAGTCATTTTTTGTACGGAAAATCTCCTGAAATCTTTGCTTTCTGATACGGAAAGGCTATAAGGTATATTGAGTCTTTTTTTTCAGAAGAAATATTTTTGTTGTGTTTTTGACATAAAGGTAATAATTACTATTTTTATTTTCTTTAACAACGCTTTTAGTTTCTGAGGTAATAGATGGGGTTAGCTGTGTATTGAAAATGGAACATTTTCCCGAAACTTATGTGCTAAAAACGGTCGATGAGCAACTCAGGCGATCTTATCAAGTCCTTTAGTCTTTAACATACTTGAATGTTTTGAACGGCTCTCGTCAGTGTCTTAGGTTTTGGTAATTGTTGTGTTTTATAAAATTTAACTCAATGGTTGACCATTTAATAACTTTTGCTACTTATTTTCGCCGACTAACTTTTTATTAGAAAGTCGTTGCCTGTTATTGATTGTAATTTTTGGCAGTGACTACAGCGTAGGTTTTATTTTGTCATTTCCGTCAGTTTTTTTACGGTGCCAACAAATTTTCGACCGAGGAAACTGTAATTTCTTGCTTCACTATTTGATAACGTACTGTCGCTTTATACTAAGTAACTAATTGTCTCATCTACTTTAATTACCATAAGTTGCCATATGCAGTGATTCGGCAGAATGCATACTTTTATTGTCTGATAGCGGTCTTATTTCTTCTCAATGATCTCGCCAGTTTCGTACTATGTTCTGAATGTGGCTTACTTCATTGAAAACCTTTATCGTTATCAGTGATTTTTATCGTTGTTGCTTGTTGTAAAATTTTGTCAATTTTGTGGGACGGGACTTTATCATCTTAGATCAAATTTTATTTAAATTACCATCTTCTGTAAATCTGTTATAGTTATTTGAAATTTTTATATTACATCGTGATTACTAGCTTTAGCATGACTTATACTTCACAATTGACGGAACAGGTAGGCTAATAAAGGAAAAAGCATATCAATCAAAATGCGTAGTTCTCAAGGGCCAGATGGCGTGAAAAAAAGAGGAAAGGCTGTTCGGTGACTCAGCTCGCGACGTTTGTTTGAAATTATTCAAATGCAAATTTGTGGTTCCTCATGAGCTTTTAATTTAGAAAGCTATACATTAAAAAAATTCTGGGGGGAGATGGTTAGAGCGGTTAGGGTGATGGGCCTTTCCACTTTTTATACAAGTACTTTGTAAGGTGTAGAGTAAATCACGATTTAATAAATAAAGCAACAAAACAAGTGAATGAACAAACAGATGGACAACCAAACAATGACTGAAGAAGCATGAAAAGATTCAATTATCACAGTAGGCACCAGAATGTTTGCGAACAAATAAAGTTTGTTTTCCCCCGCTTCCTTCTTTGAATGGTGGAAAAACAGTCACAGTTGGCAGGTTCAACCAAGTCTTTTCTTTGGTTTCCTGCTGAATAAATACAGTTAACGGTTGAAATAACTCTTGCTTGGTTCATTGTGGTCCTCAATTCACCACTTTCTGTTTCAGCTCCATGCTGTGTACTGCTGGCAGTATCGTTCACGAAGACTTTCGACATCAATCCAATTCTTGAAATTTTTTAGATGTTTTGAAAGGCGTCGTTTAGAAACGCATTTTTCGTTATAATTCGGAATTGGGCGTAAAATAACACGAAACAGTTGTATAGCACTTAAGGAGAATAGTGCTTCTTTAGTAACCTGATAATCTAACATTCGCGTCAAACCCGCATAGTCTTTTTCAGATATACGAAGTGAGAACTGAAAAAAAATTTTTTTTGCTCTGGACTTGGAGAAAAAAACGGAAAAATGTGCACAATTTATATTGCAACAAGCAAATAAATGACTAATAAAGCAAAAAGCAAGTAGTAAAAAAAGATGAAGATGGGGGAAAGTGTCTATTCTCTTATTTTCAACTCCGTCTCCTTTGTCAAGTGTAATAACCGGCTCTTCCGCTCCTAGCAATTTTCTGTTTCTTTCACTTATCAGATTGCAAACTTAGGAAGACTTCTAGTCCTTTACAATACAATCAAAATAAAAAAAAAAAATTTAAAACGCGACAACAAAAAATATAATGGGAAGAAGACAAACTGGCCTTTTTTGCTTAAACAAAATTAAGTAAGGCAACGTAGAGAACCTCATTGTTCTTTGTCCTAAAAAACTTTGTGGCTTATTTAATGTTCATCTTCTTCCCGCTGATTATAAAGAACTTCATTCTGTAGTTTAATCAGGTCCATGCCTCTAGCCAAGGTTGCATATGTTAAAAACTCAGCGATGGAAGTCAGCTTCATCAATGTACAAATGTAGAAAGAACGGTATCGAACAGACCTCAGTAGACTAGTTAATTACAGTTTTTTTGCTTGCTGCGACTACCGCAGACGTGTAGATCACTACCGTTTAGGCTCTAACTGGTCAAGCTACTGCACTGCTTTTTATCTCCATCGTCGTTAACACCATCAACAGTGTGACTCGGGAGAAAAATCAACGATGTTCGTGGCAAAACGTAAACACTGACCTCTTTCAGCTTTGGAAAAAACTGGCTAGTTGTTTGACTAGGAATACACTGAATGTGTACCGAATCTTCCTCATAACCGCCATCAAAGGTTTGTAAATAACACTGGAATGTATACCATCGATTAAGATCCATACTAGAAAGCCCGGCGGCGATTAACTCCATGATTGATACGTCAACCTGGAAAAAAAATCAACTAATCACTCGGCCTCAAAGACTAACTACATGCTCGTCCTGTTTTCGACTTTCCTTTTTTACTGGCTTCGTCTACTCCAACTTTTTTCTTCTCCCCCAAAAAGAAATTAAAAAATCAAAGTTATTTGATAGGAGAGAAAAAAATGTCAAAATTGGAGAGAATGACGGAAAAAACTAATAATAACTTCTAATGAGCTCTTCTTATCCTATGCTTGTTTAATATTAAAAACAACGAAAAGAAAAAAGGCTTCCTTTTAGTAAATCAAATTTTTTCATTAATTTACAATGAAAACTTCATCTCTGTTATTTTATACTGCTCCTTACTCTTCCCCCTTTTTCCTACTCTCTCATCAGACAAATGAACGAATGATTTCTTGATGCTTCAAATTCAGTATCAAAAAAGTAATGAAGAGGATTAAAAAAGGCAAAGACAGGGAAAAGACACAACTTTTTCTCACTTTAATTCCTAAAACTTATTATTATTGAAGAAATAGGCAATAATCCTCATTTCCATTACTATTTTCTTAATTATAAATTTGAATACAATGAAAAAATCAGTTTAACCTGTAAATAAGTTCGTGTTTATATGACAACCCTCTTAACACTGCCCTGAGGAAGAGGGTAACAGAAACGGCAAGAAACTTTAGTTGAAATATCAAAAGCTTTTCCTACTAACCACCAATTCTAAAGTTCAAATTTTAATCTGACTAACCACAACTGTCTGAACAGTTTTTGCAAAAACTTTGATTGCCGAAAATAGTCGATTAACATCTTTGGACGTCCATCGTTGGTGCACAATTAGCGTAGAACAGTGGACATCAATGTACAACAGAATTTGTGCATTAGGATGACGATAAAACAATTCTGGAATACAAAAGGAATGAAAACAAAGAATAAAGCAAAAAAGCAAGATTTCTTTTCTTTTTCATTTATTCTACATTTCCAATACAATTACTTTTTTCTTGCTTTTCTAAAGCTTATAAATAAAAAATAGTACTGCTGCTACTGTTGTAACAAGAAAAACAGAAAAAAAAAAAAATAAATGTTGCAACTTCTGCTGTCAAAAGTGTTTGATAAATTATAGAAAATTGAAGAGGAAAAAAAAAATGGTTCAACCTCATGAAAAATTGAATGCAAAAGAATGTGCAATAATACAATAAAAGAAAACCTCCAGTTTGTTCGGCAGTTTCTTCAACTACAGCTATATCGGCCCGATATACATCCAAATAGAGAATATTATTAAATTTTGGATCAATTAAACGTTTGAAATTTTTACTGACTCGTCTCCATGAATACAGATCAAACGGTGAACAATATTCAAAAATACTTGACCTGTAAATTGTCTCCAAACGGTTACGGAAACATTTGACAACAACTTTCTTTTGAACTATACCCCAATAATGACGGAAGCAGCAGTAACAGCAGTCAGTGAAAAGATATCAAATAACAGATGAACAACAGAATTCTTTTTTTTTTTACACATATTTTAACTTGTTTTTCTCTCCATCCGTCTAAATTTAAAGCTAAATGAAAAAAACTAATCCTTTACGAATTTTTCTTGCCATTCTTGCACTTCAATTCCTCCTAAATTTCTTTTCTTTTTTTCTATATTTCTTTGGCCCTTATCTTGCAAATTCTCCCATTGTTCTCGCTATCATTAAGTCACAGCAATGACAATGCCGATTTCACCCGATTACTTCATTTTCAGGCTTCTCAACTACCCTGATTCAAATTGTTTCTTCAAAATCTCCTATCCATCTTTCCTCATCACAAAGCAGATAGCCACCAATGTAATCCTCTTAGAATTACCACAAATTTTAATGAACCCATTTCAGAAAGGTAATAAATATTTTTTATTTTCCCTTTTAAGGGGAAAAAAATTTTTTCAAAGTATCGCCTCTGATTTGTTGTCAAATAAAAGTAGAACACAACACGGCAGGATAAAAAAAGAAGATAAACAAGGCGTAAGTAGTTTCAGTGAAACGTTTACGACAACAAATGTACTGCTGCTTGTCACGTCAAAAAGTGTATATTCCAAAGGTTAAAAAAAGAAAAAATAATTTTACCAAATATTATCTGGCAATATCACTTCCTTTTTTTCCACCGATAAACGTTTTTTTGCTTTATGTGTCAGCAACGACGTTTCGTTGTTCAGCTTTCGGTGAAAACGATAAACATTACTGCCAACGAATCCGATTAATGACGGCATTCACCAGGCAAAAAATATAGTCAAACCAAAAAAGAAAACAACAGTGAATAATTTTGTAGACAAATTCAGATAGTTATCTGCAAAATAAAATTACAAAAAGTACCAGTACAAAAGGAAAAAAAAAAAACTGAACCGAAACTGAAAATTCAGCTGATACCAAAAGTACTGTTGTTAATCAGATATCAGAGATCACCGTTGTCGAAATATGTTGAATAACTATAACCGCATTATGTACATTACATACATTAAAAGTATATTAAAAACAATTTTGAAAATATAACCAACTTAAAATTCAACTTTTCTTTTTGGTCTAAAAATATTAAAACAAACCAAATGACGATTACAATTCAAACTTTTGTTGATATACATTCTTAAAGTTTAACTCCTTACATATAACACCACACCTCTCTACAGTCTAATTGTTGTACAGTAGCAGTCATTTTAATGTTCAAAAAAAAAAAAAAA